AGTGTTTGCTAATGTTGGTTTTTGTGTATAGTAATCTCTTCTTTATGTTCACGTTATGATGCCAATCATCAATTTCATTATAAGTCCGCTTTAGTCTTCACTTCAGCAAAACGCATTTGTGATAGCGTGATTTGTATGCGCTTCGCGGAAGCTGCGCTCGAAAAAAAGGCACCCTTCCCACAGCCTCTTAGAGGCAAAAACAACTGCTGTCAAGGTGTTAAGCGGTTAATAGTGCCATGGATTTTACCTATCCATGATCTGTTGAGGCAAGTACATGAAAGGACAGCAAAAATGATTCGAATCGTCCATAGAAGTACTTTGCCGAAGCTATGTTTCACTTAGTACTGCATGGTAATTGCAGCAGTGCTTAACACGTACACTTTATAAGTAAACAAATTACTAAGAATTAGTGAATGCAAGAAAATTCACTTCTCTATTGGCATCCGCGCTTGCCCGATTGGGTAGTGCTTTCACTGCGGTGCTGTAATGCTCAGCTTTTCTACGTGGTATATGCGCTGAAATGCTTAATATAAGCACTGCTTTTCTACCTATTCCCTATACTCTCTGCCCCCCCCCCCGTCTCTTCAAACATGAAGACGGACGATCATTGAAAGTTTTCGTGCTGTTGTTATATATGGAAGAGCAATGTGAAATCTTTTGAGTTTTAGCGGGCCTTTTGAGTGTGCTAGCAAGAAGGGACCTGAAAGTGCCTCAAAAGAAAAGGCTGTGCTGCAATATTCGAGAAATATTTTTATACACGCAGATTTTTTATAGCCAGCAGCTGGAGCCGAAGCCGCAGCCAATCCCAACCCTTACGGTGAACGCCACGTGATCGATTTAACAGAGCAAGAAGCTGCAGCTATTCAACGCATAAAATCTATGGGGTTCCGAGTTCCAGATGGTCTGATTATAGAGGTAAGCTTGATTGTTCTCCCACTGTGAGCACTTTTTTTTGCGATTTACCTTGGCGGCGATTGGCGAAAACGTGATTCTGAACCCATTTTGGTTAATTTGGCATGAATGAACATTCTATTTTCAACTGAGTGCTTTAGGCGTATTTGGCGTGTGACAAAAACGAGGAAATGGCCATCGATTACATTTTAAACAGAATGAGTGTGAGTCCTACGTCTTGCATCCTATTAAAATACATTTCTCACATTTAGTTTTTAATTTTCGATTCATATGTGTTCTATTTAGGAAGATGACATGTGATGTATACGTTTTCGCTTTGGATGGGTTAACGGATTTTCATCTGAAACCACCTTGTCTGTTATTTTTGTAAAAGTTCGCTTCCATTGTTTGATGGCAGAAGACTGCACGTTGAATTTGGTAGAGAGTGTTCGCTTTTGAGAGATGATGGTAATGGTTTGTAGTAGCTTGAAGTGGATGCTCCGTTCTACTTGCGGTACTCATTCACTACTAAATTACATCACTATGGTTTGCGTTACTTATACTGGTGTTTTCTTCTCACATCTAGAGTGTATTTATAAAATGTTTATCGATTTGGTGTCCATAATGAATTATTTTTGTGCTTATGATTGGTGCAATATATGGTGGATAATCACATAATATTCCTGATCTATTGTTATTTCATCTACATGGTCACCGTTCTGTATTGATTACGTAGGCCAACATGGATCCCAAGGAAATGGAGAAGATACAAGAGGAAAGGAAAGAGTATGTGAAAAATCTAGGCATAGAATACCGATACGGTTGTTACGAGGTGAATTTTTTTCTCATGGTTATATATATTCTCCAGTAATAAAAGTACGTGAATAGAAAAATAAAGAACCTGCTGCTGAAATCAGCTATCAATTCAGTACTCTGTGAAGGTATTCATCGGCTAGGCGTCTACGTTTCTTTTTGGTGCTACCTTCTACACTTATCGTAGAAGGTAGTGCCTCTCACCTTGTACTGTGATCCTATAACATCCTATAACAATTACAAGGAGTCATTCTGAGGAGCGCTGAGTTAATCTCTGAGGACTTCTAACTTCTAACTTCTTGTCGATGTGTACGATGTTTTCGAGTAGTACCGTTTCCAATAGAATCCGTTAAAGGAATCCTTCACGGAAAAATCATTCTATTTCAGCCATAAATCACTGGCTTGAGACTCATATCCACGATAAGAATGAAAAGAACAGAAAATTGCTTTTGTTTTGGTAAAAATTCGAAAAATCGAAAGGGCTGCTACGCGTTCAAAGTACCGGACATCTGTCACAAATGCTGGCGACGGGATGCTTCCACTTGGTTCTTGGAGTGCCTTCACTAGAAACTCTTTCTGGCCTTTTGACTTATTGCATTCACATCTCACACTTCTACTGCATCCTATTCTATCGATCGATTTGTCTCTACTCTCCAAAATCGCACGCTTTAACCCGATTCTTTCATTGCGTCGCCTGATACGTAGCCGCCCCAAGGCGGACTTCTTTCCATGCCCCGCCTTTGGCTCCGCGCCTTTACCTTCGATTGTCCATAGAGTAGTTTTTGTAAAT